CCCCCCCCCCCCCCCCGTTCCCCCACCATCCACCATCATATTGTAGGAAATGGTAATTCAATCACTCACAGAGCTGTCATTAAGGGCCGTAACCCGTAATACCTGTTACGGCTGAGCTCACTTGACGCTATGGGTGATCAAAGTGGAAAGCTAATGGTGGCACTATAAATTTTTGAGAGATGTTACGAGTGAATCTTCATTTCCTATGGCTGTTTCAAAACTTAATGACAGCCCTGACACAGTTGTAGTACACTGACTATTTCAGACAGCTGGCCTCAAACACAAACATCTTATTACACAATACAAAGAAAGTATTATCAACTTACCAGAGGCTCTAGTCTAGGAGCTGTTGGCACATTCTAAAAGAAGAATAATCATAAGAAATGAAATTGTCAGGGATAGCTGCAGCTTTCAGTTAACGAAAGTGACTGCACGTCTCCCGAAGTTAGTTCAAACATGCACGGTTGATAATGTACTAAATGTCTAGGGAGTACACAATATTCTGCCTCAACAGGCACAATAAATTGACACCCGCAAGTTTTAAAGGAAAGTCGCAGCTTATCAAAAAAACAACAACGACAACAACAAAACAAAATGGATAAGTCTTAAGTGAGACAATAGAGTGCAAGCTTATAAGCTGATCGTATATTTGCTGGGAATTTTAAAGATCGCGATCTGTCCCTGTCGTCGCATCACTCCGATCCTCTAGTCAAGCATGCTGTAAGTTGAACAAGCGTATGGCTATCAACTTCTTGTGTAAACTAAGATCATTGCACTTGATAAGGAATCTACGCAAACTTCTTGCTTTACTCTGATCTCACATTGAAATCCTATAAGCTTAACGACTTGACTTTTTTCTCACCTTTTTTCGCTGCACAGGAGTCGGGCCGCTAAATCTAAGGGCCCTTGGATTTGGTTTCAGTTGTGGTTTTGCATAAATACGTGAACGAAGTTCATTTTGGTCGATCCCAGGCAGAGAAAACCCGTCGGGCCTTCCATTGTTTGCTGGTTTTCTGTTGCCGTTAGCCAAAGTGCTGGGACCATTTTGAGCCATTATCTTGCGAAAAAAAACCTCGTAGCTGTAATCAAAAGGTTCCTCCTTTGCGGTTTATCTCATTATTAACTGGACACATCCCTTAACAAACCATCTAGAGTACGAAAATGAACCATCTACACGAAAGATCTCACAACTTTACGTTCTGCAGACTTTGTCCGCCATTTTGTTTCAGGATGAAGTTGCTACGTAACCGGGGTTGTCAACTGAGGCAGCCTCGATGTCATGCGAGAGGAGAGCGTGAAGAATTGAGAGAAAAGAAGATTTAGATTTCCCACCTTCATTTTTTCCCACTCTTGATCTACAGGTAACATTTTTTTTTTATAAGTTCAATTTATATTTATTTGGGTAAAACATTGTTAATTCAGTTATAAAAACCCACTACACATTGTTTTAGCCAACAACATTACCAAAGTTTGCGTTTTCACGCATGAATGCTAAAGCAGCTAAACACAATTCATTATTTATCGAGTCTTGCACTCAAGAAAACTCTCGGCAAAAGGCATGTCCAAAGATAAATAAATCCGTCACTGGATTTAAATTTCGTAAAAACGCAAATAACAATAGCACTTTCCTTGCTATTTGCCAGTCACCTGTTGTTTTGAAATTCTTTGAGATACTACGTACTTGCGCCATGTCGTAGAGGGGCGTAGATCCTGTCATCTCGGTTCGTTGAGGCTGTGACATTAGTTCCTGCGAATGTGTTATCCACGATCGATCGATCGCGCAATTCTCGATACCCCATTTCATCTTTAGACTAGTTTTAGAAATAAATTTGTCAAAGACCTTTTCGCTCTATCTATAATCTACTATCATATAACAGTACAAGTAAATTTGCCAAAGCACTTCCTAGTCCAGAGAGTTAATTCTTTCAGTTCTGTCTTTCTTGCTTTAGGATTGCAAAATAAAAGGAATCGAACAGGTATCTTGAAAAAAAAACTGACATCTTACGGCCCGCGTCTCACAGTTAAAAATGATTTGCATTTAGTCGTCTTCGCGAAGGTGGTTTGAGATCATCCTTGAAACTGATATTTCAAGAGATTTCCGAAAACACTGTTTTCTTTATAATTATCTCATCGTGCAGTAACGGTTCAGTGGATTTTACGACGAAAAGGCGGTAAAATTATGTTACTTTGGTGTAGAAATTCACAGTATTTATTCAAGCAAAGCCACCACTAAATTAGATTCACTGGTTTGGTTGAGAAAAGACAAATTCTTTCTTGGCTAGATAATAGCAGAAATCAATGAACGATTGTTGTTAACAGTCTTCTTCTTTTGGCTGGGGACTTTTAATCTTTTCTTTAGGATTACTTCGCATTTGACAAGGTGCAAACTCGGCTGAAGGAATTAACTTGACGGAAGAAAAAGGAAAATAGACCTTCTTGTGGACAAAACGGCGGTGTGACGAATGAAACCAAAATTTTCATTCCTGTGCGTGACCCTTACTGAAACTGGTTCTTCTGAGAAGTGTCTAAAGTTTGTTTAAAAACGGCAATAGCTTAGTGAAAACTTGATGATAGTCTGATAATCTGAAGCCTCTCCGCAGGGTTGGATGAAAGATTCAATGAGCAGCTGGAATATCTAATGGATTCACGTGGAAGATTCCACCACAGACAGGAAGAGGAAATCAAGACAGAAACTTTCCTGGACTCGCTTGTAAGGCGAATGACCGTTTACGCAGTAGCCTTGATCGGCTTATTCCTCATTATTAAAGAGTTTCTAACAGGTAAGTAGGCGATTTGGGTGTAGCTTTCGGGAGGGATTTCCGCACTTGACAGGCGCGAGATCGTTTTCTATTTTTTTTCTGAATCTTTAGTTCACCCTCGTGCTAGTAACTTGGACAAGCTCGATGTTCATTTATTATTACGGAAATAACTGGAAATAGATTTAACCGAATACACGAATGAAAAATAAGCTTTTCAGCTGATGTATCAGTTTTGCTACAGTCTCGAGTTTCCCTGACAAAGATAAACATTGGTGCGGTAAAGCGTATCATCTTCATTTTTAATAACAAGCTTGATTTTAAAAAATTTCCCCGGACTTCCGCCGAAAAGCACCCCCCCCCCCCCCCCCCCGTGCAGTTTTGACATGCTTGGATCAACTATAGCTTCTAGTAAACTATCCACCCACCCCTCCCCAAACTCAACGTTAACTCAAACTTCTAAACGTATGGCAAAATGTCAGGTCAATGGAGGGGCGGGTGGAGAATCTTTGTCGCGATATAAAAACCTATGCAAACCCCTTCCCCAGCCTAACGTTAAAATTGACTTCTCTCGTATGTAACAAATGTCGGGTCAAGGGAGGAGTAGGTGGTCCGTTTACCAGAATCAGTTATTCGCAATACTATTGTCTGGGCTAAACTGCATAGCATGATGGCTATAGAGACATCATGTCCGCCATGTTGGTGTCCCAGAGCATTAAAAGGGCCGCCATGCATGTTGGTGTTCCAAACCAATCGTGCGGGAGTTGAACTCTTTTTTTCTGTAAACTCTTTCTTTTGTTCTAATAAATTTGAATAATTGCTGGGCACATGAGAGAAAACGCTCTTTTTGTAAACGGTTTTGTGTTTCACTATTTCGCTCGATGACACACTGTTCGAAATACCGAAACAAAAAGGTGGGAAAGATTGAGTTCATTCAACGCTCCAAAGGACCAATAATCACTAGAGTAATTGCTCGTTTCTTTCTTCAACAGGCACCTTCATCGTCTGCCAACCAATCAACAGAAGCGTTAGAATTAACATTTCTTACAGCCAATCAGAGGCGGACTACGACAAAGCGTACTGTTCCATGTCCATGACTGACTTTCGAGAAAATCTCATCAGAGCAACTGCAAGTGAACCCAACGCCATTCCAGGGGTGACAATTATGGGCATCAAACCAGGCGAAGGGCGAGTCATTTATCAAAATCTTCTACCGTTCGCTTTTATTTTTCAAGCTGCACTTTGCAGCATTCCTTCACTTCTGTGGAGAACATGGGCATCAGAAATACTCTGTGCTTCTGTAAGATTCATCGTGGATATCTCAAAAAGATTTCCAGGAGCTCCTATAGGCGAGTTTGAACCTCGTGATCGCAGAAAGGAACAAAGTTATGAAGTACTCTCCGAGGACCTAAGCAGTCAAGTTGATTTCTGGGGAAGCAGAAAATTCCTTGCAAGAGTCTACACCACGAAGCTAATGCTTAATCTTGGCATTTTGATCTTTATTGTTTGTTTTTATCTCTCCTATCCAATGCTTAATTATTACAACTTACAAGAGCTATTTGTTTGTCACGTGAACAGGCAGACCCTAGTCACGTGCACTTTTCCCGACATTGGCTTGTTTAAAGTGGCGTGGATAGCCAATATAGTCCTCGTCGATATCTCGATTGTTCTCGTTGTTTTCCAGTTGATAAACGTCGCCTTCTGCATGTCGCGAACAAGAACCTTCTTCGTCTGGTATCTTGGAGTGGACGAAAGAAAAAAGACTAGATTACCAAATGACATGCATTTAATTTCACATTTCTGTTACGCAAATCTCAGTGCGATGTGTCCTAGAATTGTACTCCATTCTGACATTCAAAGAACAGCGTTATATAATCCGCTTATTTCTTTAAAAAGTTCACAAGAGGAGTTGAATTCTAGTAGCTCAAGTTCATCTCTCTCCTATAACACAGCTCCACAAGTATTTAGACGACAGACCGCCACCGAATTAGATAGGGAATAATCATAAAAAGGTGAAGACTTCACAATAACTCTTTCAAGATTTTGGGTAAACTATTCATAGTATTCGATTAAACGGCTATAAAAGTGCACTTTTACGTGTTCACACTGAAACGAATAGCTCTCAATATAGGATAGAGCTTCTGTTCACACATGAAGAACGATAATTTCGGTGGGACGAGGATTTCTATAACAGAACGAAGTAGCGCCGCGCCCGGATCTCGAAAGTGGATCGTTATATATCAGATAGGTTTCAAAGCCAGGGTTACATGCCGCTCTTGTTTACAGCGTGAACATTGGACCGTTGGGATCGGAGAGTAAATGATCATGAATAGGAGCAAAGACTAGTACCCACTTATTATAAAACAGGAGTAAGTATTCAGGAAAGAGGACCAAGCACGAATTTGAATGCTGATCAGATATTAGTTGAAGCGTTAAGTTTAAAAGTTAAGTCAAATTTTTTTGAATGCAGTTGGAAAATTCAAGCACTGCTTTCAGTGAGTTTTAGTTCGGTGTAAGTAATATATTTACAGGAAAATAAAAATAATAAAAATTGAATAAATAAAATAAAGTAAGACAAGGAGGCGTTTTAGTTTTCTGGCCAATTAAGGGCACATTGGTTTAATTTTGCTTCTCCCTTATATTTTTTCGGAGTTGTCAGCAGTACAACTTGTTCATTAATGCAGTTACGAGGAGCTCCCAGCAAACTACGCGCGCGTGCGCTCCAATATGAAAGTTGAAAAAATTATCAGAACATCTTGATTAAAGTTCACTCAAAACGCAACTTAACTNTCCTATAACACAGCTCCACAAGTATTTAGACGACAGACCGCCACCGAATTAGATAGGGAATAATCATAAAAAGGTGAAGACTTCACAATAACTCTTTCAAGATTTTGGGTAAACTATTCATAGTATTCGATTAAACGGCTATAAAAGTGCACTTTTACGTGTTCACACTGAAACGAATAGCTCTCAATATAGGATAGAGCTTCTGTTCACACATGAAGAACGATAATTTCGGTGGGACGAGGATTTCTATAACAGAACGAAGTAGCGCCGCGCCCGGATCTCGAAAGTGGATCGTTATATATCAGATAGGTTTCAAAGCCAGGGTTACATGCCGCTCTTGTTTACAGCGTGAACATTGGACCGTTGGGATCGGAGAGTAAATGATCATGAATAGGAGCAAAGACTAGTACCCACTTATTATAAAACAGGAGTAAGTATTCAGGAAAGAGGACCAAGCACGAATTTGAATGCTGATCAGATATTAGTTGAAGCGTTAAGTTTAAAAGTTAAGTCAAATTTTTTTGAATGCAGTTGGAAAATTCAAGCACTGCTTTCAGTGAGTTTTAGTTCGGTGTAAGTAATATATTTACAGGAAAATAAAAATAATAAAAATTGAATAAATAAAATAAAGTAAGACAAGGAGGCGTTTTAGTTTTCTGGCCAATTAAGGGCACATTGGTTTAATTTTGCTTCTCCCTTATATTTTTTCGGAGTTGTCAGCAGTACAACTTGTTCATTAATGCAGTTACGAGGAGCTCCCAGCAAACTACGCGCGCGTGCGCTCCAATATGAAAGTTGAAAAAATTATCAGAACATCTTGATTAAAGTTCACTCAAAACGCAACTTAACTCAAACATGCAGTATACGAAAAGCAAATCCAACGCATGGGTTTCCTCGGTTGGAACGATACAGAGAGCTCTTGTCCAAGAAATTCAGGTCTTGCTTTACAATCAATATGAGAATGAAAAATATTATGCAAATTGAGCAGTTCATCGCGGGGCAACAACGTGTTACTTGCAAAAAATTCGCAAATTTAACGCATAGAGATAGCCTTATTATTTCACTTAATCCCACAAGCTAAAGTCAAATAAAGCTGTAATTGACACATAAAATATAAGCAAGTTCAAGAAAATTCTCTTAGTGAAACTCGCTTAAAAACACAGCATTAAACTCAATGATCAATGGACTCTTCTCGCCAGTAATGTTTTCTTTTGAGCACTGTAGTGACTGAAGTGTCTGCTGTTCAGTTCAACTTGCAATTATCTTTGGAGTGCGTGTCGGCTAAACCATTTTAACAATGATCTCGCCAGAACTGTTTTCTTTTTTTTTTGCTCTTATGTGTTATTTCATTTTCGAAGATGTTAAACAGCGAAGATTTTAAAGATGGAACGTTCTTAATCCTTTGATGCATTTGTTTGTTTTACACATAACAATGCCAAGCGTTAGGATGAGAAAGTATAGGTGTTGTACGTTTGATGTAACAAGGCTCCCTTTAAGGAGTTTCCTTGGCAATGTAACTTTTCCAATTGAAACGCGAAGAAGGATTCATATATTGCTGATAAAGACAAAGTGAAACGAATCATACAGGATCATTACTGAATTTTACATACAGTACTCCTCTTTGCTAGACCAAAAGGTAAGTCACCTTGAAGGAGCTGTGTGCAGTCACGAAATTTATCAAAATCCAAACATTAAGAGCTGCTACAAAATAGAGTGGAACATTAACATATCCGTTCAAAATGTTAAAAGCCCGATAAGAGGAAGGTGGACAACAAATACAAAAGGCCAGGCATGGATAGACGAACTTGATAAAGATTGAAACGGATTGTAATTGCGTTTGGTTTTTGAAAAAGCTTGTTAGGCCTAAAAGTAATTCAAAGTTAAGTAGTTTTGTTTTTGTAACGTTTTATATTAAATGCTTGGGAGACATACTTGTTTAACACGAAGCTGTGATGTTGTAATTATTCACATGTAGTTTCTTCACTAACGTTCAGTTCCATGGCTATTATACAACGAAGCGTATTTGGCAATATTGAAAAAATATTAGTCAGCCATGACACCCCACAGTCCCTTTAACAAAATTTACCCTTATTTCGTACTTACATAGGCACCTGTACGTTTAAAAGTGAACTAACGTTCAAGCATTAACGAAAAAAGTATTTAAGTTGCTGATATATAGTTATCGATAGTTAAGTTAGAAAATTTTGTTCAGTTGTAGAGCACGCAGATTTATACTTTAGATAAAAAGTGAAAACAATTCTGTAGTATCAATTTTTTTTCCGTCCTGAGCGGTATTCAGATTCAACCGTCGATGTCCTCCTACAATTTACGCGGCTTTCTGCTTCATTAATATCCGGGCGATCATCGCGATTATCATACTAATGTAAGCGTTTTAAAATCATACAAGTAAACGTGGTGGATTTAACTAAGCAGAGAGATTTTCAAAGTTTGGGAATTGTGAGTTCAGTTAATGGAAGTTATGTTCTTTTAAAGTTTGGCATAGGAATCCACAGGGATAATTTCGGTGGGCGGGCTAAATGCGAACTAGTAGTTAAAAGTTCTGCCTATGCTTGCGTGTGAAAGACGAATTTTATTTAATTAAGGCAATGCACCATGACTTCATTCTATAGAGGTAATCCTTTTTCTACAAGCTAATTCTTTTTTTCACTGAAGGAGATAACAAATTTATGAATTGTGACATTTCTAATTTATTAAACAGACTATTGAAAACCAGCGATGCATAATTCCAGTCAAGCAGGGGTTAAATGTTGCAGGCGAGCATTACTTGTTATTCTGTTCATCATTATCGTCATCCTCCTCCTCCTCCTCCTCCTCCTCCTCCTCATCATCATCATCATCATCA